AAAAAAAACCTGCCTGACAGTTACTATAAGAAGTCTTTGGTTTGGATGGCTGCTATCCATGGTTGAAAGTGTAATTAAAATATAGGTTGAATAATTATTAAATATGTGATGCAACTTAAACGACCAGTTGATGTTGCACAGGTTCAGCTGTGATCGCATCACGCAGGAGAGTTTTCCGAATCCCTTCCAGCTTTGGGTGGACTCTTTCTTGCCCTCCTCTGCTGCCTGCCATGCAGCCTCTGTCTTTCTCTGTCTGGTTTGTGAGTGTGTGTGTGTTAATTGAAGAAGTGGAGCCACTCAGGAGTTCAGGTCACCTGTTACTCACTACCCTCCTCTGCCGTAAAAGCCTCACTCAGATCTTCACTCATTGCCAGATGGTAGACTCTGCCACACGGTTAGTCCGGTTCCAGCATATTCTGTGGTCGTCTCTGCTATCGTCCTAACCCCTGTTTGCTTAACCTGCCTCTGTTTCCCTCCTGCTGCTGTGGAAACTTTCTCTGGATTCACTCAAACCCAACCAGCTTCAGCCCAGGTCCTTAGCCTGGTCTCTGCCTGCTCCTGCTTTAACCAGCTGTACTCAGATCTTCAGTCTATCCAAGATGGCGCCGACTGAGTGGCAGCCAGTTACAGCAGCCCCGACCTCTTTCCTTGCTTATTGTGACCTTTTTGCACTTCTAGCTCTTCTTTACTGTTTTCTTTCCAATAGTCGTCGCTCCAGCACACGTCCACTTCTTGGTGTAAAGCTGGTGAGACTTCTGTTGTGTTTTTTATTTTTTTCTGTATATAATGTTCTTTTCTCTTGCAATTTTTGCACCGTGTGTTTTCTGTTTTCTGTTTTTCTGTTTTTCTGTTTTTCTGTTTCTGTTTCTTTCCTACATTTTGCACTGGGTTTCCCAATTATTCTTGCACTGACTGTGCACTTTTTTGGAGCTGTTGTAACAGTGAACTTTCCCCACTGTGGGATCAATAAAGTTATCTTTATCTCATCTTTAGGTCTCAGCCAAGTTTCTGCTCCTGTCTCAGCTTCCTCATCCAATCCTCAGCTAAGTTCACTTGTCTGGCATATCGTCAGAGACTCTCAGTTCAGCTTTAACATTCTGCCTGCTCCTGTACTTGGGTTCCCCACCATGCTGGAACAGGAATCACTTGAATTTGTAGACGAAACTATGCAGAAATGAAACTCAGGTTATGAAACAATATGTGATTCACACTACATGTCAGTTAGGAACAAACTGATGCCAGTTGGTTTCAGCGTCCTTCTAAATTTGACAATAATGACGTTAAGCGCTGCCATTCAGGAAATAATTATTATCCTTTTGTAAAATGGATGACTGGTATGACAATGGGGGTCACATCAGAATACACACAAATGTATTCTCATACATTTTCATTAAAGTCACTAGTTACCAGTCCACTACTGCCCACAGGCTTTAAAGGTTAAATATTGTGTCTGCGATGTAAGTCTGTCTGCAGGTTAGAGAAAAGCACCACAGTGACTCATCATATCACATCTTCCTCTTTATTGCTTGGTCTGAAATGTTGTTTCCTCGCGCTGGTGTCTGGCCTCAGAGTGACGCGATTTAAAAATGCACACTCCTGAACATGTGGCAGATGTTGTTGCTGCTGTATGCTGTTACTGTGCCAACCAGCTGTTGACTAAAGTGTTTTTCTCTCCTAAATGAATGAGTTTTAGTTTGTGACAACAAAAAGGGGCCAAAAAAAACCGAATGCATGTTTCTCTGTCAAGAAAAGGTCCTTTGGGATTTTGTTCTGCTCACAGCTTGACTGAATAAGACTCCCTCAACATTGACTTGAATGAAAATACAGTAAAGCCCTTTACAAATGCAAGAAATGTCAGACACATATCAGAACCTGTTTGTGATCAAGCTGAGTGGAGTTTCTTTTTGAAATGTGCCTCAGCTTTTGTCTCCACACCTTAAGTGCGTCCTATCGACATAACAAGAAGCCTACTATGCTCAGGTTTGCCTTGAAAGTTCAAGGAGACCTTGAGAAGTCTTTTGAACAACAACAGTGTGTCGAGCTGTAAATTTCTCTCGTAGCTTCTGTTATTTTCTTCCTCCCTATTGTTTTAGAACAAATCCTGCCTGAAAGTTTCTAAAAGAGGTCCTTGGTTTGGGGATCAAGAAGTTACCTCCCTCTGCAGAAAGTGTGGAAGATTTAACCTCAACTGATTACAACTAAACTCTGATGCTCAGACACACTGAATACAGCATCCAAAGTGAACTTCACATCAGGATGGCCTCCCTCCACCAGGCCCGGTCATCTGGCTTCACGCTAAGCTGATGATTCAGAATCAATCCATTAAAGAACAGAGAGTCATTTTGCACAAATGAAGCCTCGTGCCTTAAGAGCTCCATCTCTGATTGTCCTCCACACAAAGGCCTCTCAGCATGACATCACGTCACTTCCTTATCGCTGTGCCCCTGTGCTCCTTTTACAAATATTTGTGACCATGAAAGGGGAACAGTTCAAGCATTAGAGCCACTGTGGCAGTTGTGTGACGTTAATCCTGACTGGAGGGTGACGTTTTGTGAATGGGTCTAAATAAAATAAAATAAAATAAAAAGCTTTTCTCACAACTGAGTCAGACATGTGATTTATTTTTATTTTTTTAATAACAGTCCTTGTAAGAAACTGTGCCTTAAGAATTGTAACCATTAGCACCCATTTGGAAAAGAAAAGCTGAAACCGTTCATTCTCTTTAACCTGCAGAAATAGCTCTTGCAGAGACTGTTGGAGACTCTCTGTACATGCCTTCTTTCAGGATTTGCACCTTTCCGTGGAGACACACTCGTCAGGAACTCCTTCAGTGATCAGAGCTGTCAGTCAGGTTTAATAAAAAAGCGAGTGATTCCAGAGAGCAGGACAGCCCTCCTTTGATCGCCTGGCAACACACACTGCTTCTAACCAAGACAGCCACATTAGTAATTACATCTACAAGGGCTGATGAGAGGTTCAGAGTGCAGCTGCATGGCTACAGCTGCTGCTTGCGTTCATTTGTGTGAGAAGCAGCGCGCATCTCTCCAGAGGCGCACAGGAGCTCCGCGCTGGATATCTTCTGCGCTCACATTACGCGTCTTAAAACTGAGATATCCTCATAAGGTAAGTGCGCAACTTTGCCACCCGTCCGAGATGCGAAATTTGTGCGTTACCTAAATTGAATTAAGCCTAACTAAAAGTCAGTCCACATCCAGTATTTGAGCTGAAAAGAGCGCGATGGAAATGATGCGTACGCGCGTTAAAAATGATTTTCCTTTCTTCTCAAATCTTTAAAGTTGCTAAATGATTCTTGAATTGAGTGGATTTTAAAATGGCTTTGTATGGTGACACTTTCTGTATATGATCAGCTTTCTATTTGCATCGTAGTATTTCTGCTCCATCTCTTTTTGGGAGAACTGATTGGTGCCGAAAAATGTCTTTATTTGATATCACAATATTGGTGACAGTATGGATGTATTAATTCTACTTGGCAGCAGGGACACAGTATTGTTAAAAACCGATTGAAATTAATCTCTTCTTGGCAGAGCAGATGAGTTGAGATCCAAAGATCACATTGTTGACCTATTTTTATTTTGCCTTTTTTCTGCGCTTTTTTTTTCAGAATCATTCTGTTCAATTACTAACGAAATCACCAAAAACAACATCCATCAATTTTGATTTTTATCATCGAGCATTTAGGATGATAATAAAATGTGGTGCCAGTTGAGATGCAACCTGTAGCCTGCAACTACAGTTTGAATTCATGTCAGAATTTCTATATAGAAACAGTGGATGGAAGATAATACAGCCAACAGCTGCAAATAGCATAAAAACACTGGGGAAACTGATTTAGATCCAACAAGTTTTATAAGCTGTTAAATGGTTTGTTCTATTTTTCACTGGAGATACCAACTGTGGATGTTCTGAACTGGTAATGTTTTTTATTTATTTATTTATTTCACTTTATCAGCTGCCATCTACAATCTGTCTCTCTACTGATATTTTCTGGCAGTTACTGTGATAAGAAAGTAATTTTATCCCCCAGTTTTATCTCATCCACACTTGTCACAGAGATCAATATTTTGAGTCAATTCCAAACTTTTACAATGGGCACAGCAGTTTGTTTATTTATTTATTTATTTATCAAATCCGTACAGACAAAACATAAGCTTGGCCCACACGTGTCACTTCTAAATGCATTTATACACCAGCAGCTCACCGGTTGTGTGAGCGTAGCTTTATGCTGCCGTGCAATTATGTTGTCATCATGTGCTCTCTGAATTTCCTCAGCTGGGTTAAATATAGCTGAATGGAACTGAATCAGCTGGAACCGCCATCCCCTGTGCTGTGCATATTGTCTCTACACAGGTATGGATAGATGTTAGTGCAGAGCGGGTCTGAGTCATTTGTTTTAATATTCAGTGTTGAAGAGTTGCTGTAATAACTACAATGCACCTGGCTCGAGGTGAGATGAGCAGATAAACAGAAGCAGGTAGCAGATATGCAGCCTGCTTGATATCAGAATTACGCTCCACCAACAACCCTATTAATTTAAGAGTTTAAACAGAAAGAGAAACACATCTCTGTGGCAGAGTCTTCACACAGTTTGGCCAAGAAAACTGTGCTGTATTCTGGCAAAAGTAAGCTACTGTTGGCACGTTGCTTTTCATTTATAGAACCCTAGAGAACTGAAAAACGCTTGATCCCAGATAGAAGAAGAATAATTGGATGGGAGAACTGGCCTGTGAAACTGTTTGGCTTATCTGCAGTCATGTAGGATTAAAATGAAAGGTACTGACATAAATGAATTGTAACAAACTGCGTGCACATGTCTGCAGTAATCATAAATTGCCATTTTAGTCACTCAATCAGCATATTGTTGTGTGCAAACATGAGTCTTGGCAGTCTTTGATATTCCAGAGTGCATGTTGTTGAATACACAGACAGTGCTATACAGTCATCATGATTTCACCTCTCCAGATTGACGCCATCCTGCTGGCATGGAGGACACAGGCAGCGGCTGGGCAGCAGAGCTCACCCCTCCGTATGTGATGCCTGACGTGAATGGGAATGACAGCGGTCAGGTGTTCGAGGTGGCACTGCAGAACAGCTCCTCCAAGCGCAGCTCCCAGTTTGTGGGCGTGGAGCTGCTGCAGTCTTTCAAGCTGCTCATCATTCCCTGCTACACCCTGGTGGCTCTGGTGGGTGTCTTTGGCAACTATCTGCTGCTCTACGTCATTTGCCGCACACGCAAGATGCATAACGTCACCAACTTTTTCATCGGAAACCTGGCCTTCTCCGACATGCTGATGTGTGCCACGTGCGTCCCCTTCACGCTGGCTTACGCCTTCAACCCTCACGGCTGGGTCTTTGGCCGCTTCATGTGCTACCTGGTGTACCTCATCCAGCCCGTGACGGTGTACGTGTCAGTCTTCACTCTCACTGCCATCGGCGTGGACAGGTGAGTAGCAGAGAGCCAGATGACTGTCGACAAACTCTGTTCAAGTTCAACTTAAACAGGATTTCTGTTGAACTTTATTCAGATGCATCCAACTTTTTGCTGACATATCCTACAGTGAATCACCAGAAAAGCAAAAGGTAACAAAGTGGAAAATTTTCAGCTTGCGGCATTTATGCAAACAGCTTTAGTCACCCATTTATGAACTACACCTAAATATAGAATTCATGCTGCACAGAATGTCTCACAATGAATGTCACACCTCTTCAAGAAAATTGCACATGATTACAGCTGCGAATGGATCTGGATGTAGTGGATTCTTAGGCCAGCTATGAAAATAACTATGCATTCTAAGCATATGTTTGGGTAATTTAGACCACATTTGGCTCCAATCTGTGACCCTAGTACAGGTCCTCAACTGTATTGTGGGACATTCGTGTACGTAACGTTTGAGATGTTTCTAGGCGAATAAATGTCAAAGTGCTTTTCTTGCTGCACGCTGGGACTCTAAATGAAGATTCAAAGGGTGTATGTGATTAATAGTATTTCTCCAGTGACTGCTCACAGTGTTCTGCTGCTCTGAAGCGATATTGTGCACTAATCCATCTTTTGAGTTTAAATGTAAATCTGTCCTGGTGAAGCACAGAAGGGATGAAAGCTGATTTTTTTTAGGCTATAATACATTTCTTGCTTAGTTGCGTAAATCCCACTTTATCTGCTGCCCTTGTATAGAGTGACAGAGCTGAACTGGCTTCGATATTAATTTTGCTAAGAAGAGAGTGATGATTATGATATAAACTGATGCTTTAACATTGATTATAGTAGACTGTGTGTGTTTAGCGACATACTGTAATTTGTACATTAATTGCTACGGGCGACACGGTTTCACTCCATCATTTTTTATCCATCTTTCCTGATTGCTTTGCTTATTTGTAGATATTATGCCACAGTGCACCCTCTGAAAAAGCGCATCTCAGTCTTGGCCTGCACCTACCTCCTGTCTGGGATCTGGCTGCTGTCCTGTGGTCTGGTGGCTCCGGCTGTGGCTCACACCTACCATGTGGAGTTTAAAAATGAAGGCTTCACCATCTGCGAGGAGTTCTGGATGGACCAAGAGAGGGAGCGGCTGGCTTACGCCTACAGCACCCTCTTCATCACCTACGTCCTGCCTCTGTCGGCGCTCTGCATATCTTACCTGTGCATCTCCGTCAAACTGCGGAACTGCGTCGTTCCCGGACACCACACCCAGAGCCAGGCCGAGGCTCAGCGCATGCGCAAGCGCAAGACCTTCCGTCTGGTGAGCCTCGTGGTGGCAGCGTTTGGCATTTGCTGGATGCCCATCAGCGTGTTCAACGTTCTGCGTGACATTGACATCGATCTGATTGATAAGCGGTACTTTCTGCTCATTCAGCTGCTCTGCCACCTGTGTGCGATGAGCTCATCCTGCTGTAACCCTTTCCTCTACGCATGGCTGCACGACCGCTTCCGTGCCGAGCTGCGCAAAATGTTCACGTGCCGCCGTCGCATCGGCATCTCAGCCAACAACTGTGCCACAGCCAGTGTGGTTTTGTGAAGCTTCTGTGTTTCAGGCTGTAAAAACACACTCATCAAATCCTGGCAAAATTCAGGTAATGCAGATAAGATACAGTATTTAGACAGGTAGGATTCCTGTTGGCGTACGGCAGGGGTGTCCAATCCCTGGTCCTAGAGAGCCCCTATCCAGCATGTTTTAGATGTTTCCCTCTTCCAACACACCTGATTCACATGATCAGGATCGTTATCAGGCTTCTGCAGAGCTTGATGATGAGCTGATCATTTGAATCAGGTGTGTTGGAAGAGGGAAACATCTAAAACATGCTGGATAGGGGGCTCTCGAGGACCAGGGATTGGGCATCCCTGGTGTATGGTGATCTGGCTTTTACGTAATTTTACCATACGGTTCACAAAATAATTTAGTGGTCAAGTGTCACATTGTTTCCCCTTTTGCTTATCAATACACTTTTTTGAGAGCTCTACTGATTTCGACTTGTGCTCCAGAGGTATTTTTTTCCCATCGCCAAATCTTGGTGCCCTGGATTGAGGTGAACTGATGCCCCAAACAAAGGAAGCCAGCAAGCAAATCTCTTGGTCTAACAGTCGGTATACATTCCAACCTTGTACAAAGGCCAGGAGCTCTAGGTAGTGACAGATAGAATGTGATTCCAGATAAGATACGACTGAGATGAGTTTCCTGTATGGGGCTCCTGGGCTGAGGCTTAGACATTGGGTGATTAGTTCGGAAATCCATTAGAGAACTCCTTTGTGTCGGGAAAAAAAAAAGCCAGCTGAGGTGATTGGGGCATCTCCCAGGAGGCACTTGAAAGTTCGGGGGAAAGGACGTCTGGAGTGGATGGCATCAAATCCACCGAAAATTTGGTCAGAGATTTGGGTGTGTTACCAGTAGCAACTGATGTGTCCTTCGATGTACAAAGAAGTTCTTTACAATCAGTCCATTAAAAATAATTTGTTCAAATGATTCCTCCACCAACCAATCCAGCTATTCAGTATGAGTCAACGGATCATTTCAGGAAGTGATTCTGTTCAGTGCGTTCACCCAAAAGATTTGTTTTTTTCAATGAATGTTCATCAAAAAAACTCACTTCTTTAAAATCCACGTGGCTGTTTATTTGACTTTTCTCCCTTCAGAGCCATGAAAAGACGTGACACAAGGTTTTATACACATATCTGCAAGTCATCTAAGCATATGTTGAGGCTAAAAGTCAGTGTAGTTTCCGTTAAGTCCCAATGCAGTTGGCAGCCATGTGTGTCTGTGCAGATGCAATTACTCTAAGTCGTCTTTTATAAACTGTAGCGTTTAACTATCTTTTATATGAGGTTGTTTCATTGGAAAAATCTTGTCTGATGTCTTTTAATGTTTCAGTTCGTTGTTGGTTTTATTTTTTTGTTTTAAACAGGGAACTGGGATTTGTTGACGATAATAAAAACTATGGAATCCTAAACAGTCTATTCACAAACAAACAGTACTGCATTAGCATTTACATTTAAGAGAGATGTAGGCCACCTAATTTATTTCTTTTTACAATGTGAGGATTGAAAATGTATGAATTCCTTTGTTTTGATACATTTTGCAATACAGCCTCATTTACACTTGTATTTGACAGCCTGTTGTTTAAAATACCATGAAAAAAGAAAAGCAGGATTTACAAATTATGGGGGAAAAAAAACACATTGAACTGTATTGTCACTTGTGTACAATAAAACATGCAATGTATGTTTCTATGGCAACACATTTCTCATCTTTGCTGCCCTCGGTTAAAATGAATATATTAGGCAAACAACTTATTATAAAATACAGGTGCTAGAACACACAACATCTAGATGCAACTGGTATTGACAATGAAATGTCGAGCACGCCTCAGCGCCTAATGCTAATTATGTAGGGACATGTTTTTTCTTGGTATGTTTGTTAGATTTCTTTCTAAATGCATATTAATTGTAAATAACCAGATATGCAAACACCCTGGTGACAAAATTAGTGTCTTTATTTCAAATAAACCCACATTGGTCAGCATGACTGCTTTCAGACGTTTACATTGACAGTAGTATAGATTTTGTGTCACAGCCAATAAACCAGGCCGTACGCTCTTTGAGTTCTCTCTCCAGAAAAAGAGAGATAACCGACAACTGTTCATTCCACACATAAGAGTCACAAAAAGGAAAAAAAAGAAAAGCTTGAAGGCACAGGTCTGTACATTCTGAAGAATAATATTGCTATCGTTTCTGCCAAGACATCAAACAGCTGTAGTTTGCAAAGGCATTCATGAGTGTAGTTCAAATACAAAGACAAGGCTGGTTATCACGAAAACTGAGCCGATTACTTCTCCTCTGATTAGTTTCTGATTATCTCTTGGTTTTTATTTTATAAATACAACACAAATATCACAGTGATCAAAATTATTCATTTAAGAAGAGCTGGATTCTGTACTGTTGCTTGCATAATATTTAAAACTATGTGCAGAGGCTACATAACAACCACATGAAGGGAAAACAATGCTGAATTATTAAAACTATGTACAGTAAATAGCAGCGGCTTGCTCTTAGTCATTGCTGGTTTGTCTAAATACCACCTCTTCTAGCAAGAATAGGCACAATATGTTCTTAAGGACTAGACGATTGGGTGACATTCAACTGTGGTGAGCACAAAAGGACAGATTTTAATTGCTTGGTCAAAATAATACATGCTTTTAAAAGGCTCCACGAAGAAAATTTAAAAAATAAGACTTTCGTGATGGAGGGAAGGAGACATGAATGTGAAATGGCTGAATGAGGTTTTATGTACGATCATTCATCACACAGCATTAAGTTACACAGAGCCCTGTGTATAGAGTAAAAAGGCCAGAAAATAGTTTAAAAAACAAACGCTTCTCTCCACATTTTAAGTATATTAAATAAAGCTCAACCCAGGTTTCATCAAGTGTGCTACATAAATCAAGATTCTAAATATATTAAACACATTTTTAAAGCAAATTGCTGTACCTTAGTGTCAAATTAAATACATTCATTTGCTTGTATAAAGATTTCTTACTTGCTTGTTATTGCTATATGTTACTACTTCAGAGACAAGTTTCCAGCATTCTCAAATTAGTTTGACTCTGAAACTGAAAAAAGTGCATATGCTCTAAGACCTTCATGGACATTGTGTTTCAACAGTAAAAAAAAAAAACACACAGTAGAAACACAGCAGAGTCCTTAAGTTGGGCTCTTATCTTCCAGGTGATATTTCCTCACACTGGCTTGGCATTGAGGGACTGCAGGATACTGGGTTTCTCGTCTATAACGCGCACCAGCAGGTTGTCTATGTACTCCTCCAGCTCAACGATCTTGGCGTCCTTCCTGGACAAGTCGGCTTGCTGCTTCACCACCAGCGTGATCAGCTCTTCCTGTGTCAGCTGAGTGTAAGGGCCACTTCCTGCCGACTGTCCCACCTGAAGGGAATAAAGACAAGTGAATAACTCACATGCATTCTCATGAAAAACCTGCTGATACATTTTTAGCGCATACTGACATGTAAACAGTAACGGTTTCCCCTTGAGAAAATAAACTGGAGAACACTAGAGATAGAGGATTACATTCATAACCGTATTTGCATATTTACAATTTTGACAAAATATTTCATTCCAGTAGGTCCAGCTACTTATTATTCCAAAGCTCTAAGCCACGCATTATTGCCTTCACAGCAGATGGAGTTTTTCTCAGTTTCTGACAACTGAGCAAAACTCCATCTGCTGAGTTGAAAAGCTAAATAAGTGGAGCGTGAATTTATTTACTTAGTCTAGTAGCTCTTTTGCCACAAGACTGCCACACGATTTCAGATGCATACAATCACCCGCTTGGGAGCTGCCAACTGGCTTTTTTTTTTTTTCCTCGATGAGCTTAAGAGTTTGAGGAAGACTTTAGGAAATTAACTCTAACTAGAATTGCTGCCTTGTGCTTGTGGGCTTCCACCAACTAACCAAATTACAGTTTACTTCCATGTTGGGCCAAACTCAATTTCTGACCTTTTTGTTCTAAAATGTCATCATTTCTGTTCCATTAGATGTTTGTGTGAAATGTTGTCATAATTAGTCGATGAATTCTTGAGTTATGGCCAAAAAAAGTATTTCGGGAGCTCACGGCAGTCTTTGAATATCAAAATGTAATCAGTTTATCTCTGAGTCCACGTGAACTTTGTGCAAATTTGACGAAATTTCCTTCAGACATTAAAGAGAGCCTGAAACAAATGCCTTCAGCCTGAGCTGCCATGCTGGCATAAAAAGGTACGACCTGTAAATGTGCATGACGTTGCTGATGTTACAGGTTGAAAAGACATTTTAAGTTATCTTGCCAACAATTCCTCCTGCAGCAAAATCCAATTAACTGGTACTTTGTCAAATCGGTTGGTGTCTTGGTTCTAGAATATCACTGATGTCAACATGACAGTACCTTTATCTTTCCTGGTGCAATGTCATGGACCTTTATCTCCTTCACAGCAGGGGTGTTGATGGGATGCTGGCTCTCAGCTGAGCTCATGGGCTTCACAGGATGAGGCCTGTAAAGAAAGGGCAAACATTATTATAAAGCCCTCAAAGAGACAACAGCTTACAGCAGCGTCACAGCAAATAATAAAGAAAGGTTAGAAGAAGCAGGAGAAAAGGATTAAAGCAAGTAATGTGTTATTTTTTTGTTTGTTTGTTTTTTTATCTTCAGTAAAATTCCACTGAACCCAGTATGAAGAAAGTTGGCAAGAAGCCCTAAACATAGTCACACCCAAGTTAGAACCCAACAACGTATTTATCTCCCGTTATAACAGCACCACGAGCAAGGCAGCGTTTTCACATATTAATCGAGTTAAACCACAAGAGAAGACTTTGTAAGTTGCCTGTTCAATCTCACCTGCGTAGAGGTAAGGCTAGTCCCCCTCCATTGCTATTCTGAGTACTGACAGGCTGAACATCAGAGGGGGAGACCCATGCTAGCAAAGGTGACTTTCCCCCAGACAAGCCTCCTGCCTGAGATGCTGGATCCTCCATAATAACCTGGAGGGGCTGTGAGGAAGCCAAAGCTGAGGACACAGTAAAAGGCTCAGCTCCGAATGGATCCTCTCCTTCATAAAAGCTGTTCTGTGTTTTCGCCTCAGCTTGAGGCTGCAGTGCGACTGACCCGGTACTGACATCTCTTGAGGAGAACCCTTGATTATCTGTGGGTAAGCTTGTTCCTGCTTTATTTGCTGGTTCTTGTTGAGACATGAAAGTCTTATTCTCTGAGTGAGACGCAGTTGGAGGAATCTTCTTTCCTTTCTGTGAATTCCTTCTTTGGAATGCAGGGCTGCCTTGCTTTGCATCATCATCCTTTTTCCTGTATTCACTGTGTTTGTTTAAGTCACTGCCAGTAAAATTAGCAAAGGGGTCTGATGGTGTGTCTTGATTAAAAATGTCATTAAGATCATCTGCTGTCATGCCCCGATCTTCAGGTTTCTGCTCTTTCTGTACATTTCCAACAAAAAGGTTGTCTCCTTCCTGGATTGGCTTCAGCTGTCCCCACGGGTCTTTGGACAGAAGCTCTGTACTGGGGAATGGGTCAAAGTCTGCAAAATTCTCCTTCACCTGTTTGTTCATGTTGCTCATACCTGAACCAGACAATTTTGGGGCTGATTCTTCTTCCTTTGTTTGCTCTTTGCCACTACCTCTTTGTCGGGGTTTAGCTGTGGGTGCTTCCTTGTTCGTGGTGACTTGCGCTTTCCTTTGTTCATCTGATGGAGTTGAAGCCCAGTCTACTTGGCTCGGTGGTCTGGGTGCAGGTGTAGCAGCAGATGGAGGACGCAGCACCTTCCTTGGTGCATCTCTGGACGTCCCTACGCTTAAGGTGTCGGCTTTTGTAGATGCTGGGACTGCAGACGGATTCGGCCCCATGACAGACTGATGAGCAACATTCTGGCTTTGGGTCTGACTGGAGTCTATTACTGACTGAGGGGATGGGGACCTCACTGGTTTAGGGGGAGCAGGGGCTGCCATTTTTTTTGTAGAAGCAGGTTTAGTCTCCCGAGGATGTGCTTGATAATGCCTCACAGCAGGACTCTCCTGTAATACAGACGACCTAGGAGTCAGGTTATGCTCCTCTGGGCCGTCCACACTCATCTCTGGACCCAGTAATTCAGGAGTGTCCCTATGTCTCTGGTTGACCTCTGCAATGATGTGATCCCATCGAGTCTGCCCTTGCACTCCGTGTCTCTTCTGAGGAAAGAGGCTTTCATAATCAGGAAGTGGTAGAGACATTTTTTTGCCTTGTTGCGATCCATCTACTTCCACGTATGCAGGGTTCTTGATCTCTCTGACAGGAACGTGATGATTTCCTCCAGTTTGGGTCCCAAGTGCAGGATACGTGGGAGGTAGAATGGCTCTTCTCTTCTGATCTGCCATGATGAGTGAAGATTCCACAGATGACAAATTCTCTGTGCTGCCACGAGGAGAACCAGACGGGCTTTGACTTATGGTTGGTGGAGCCAGAGATGAGTGGAGGTTGGAGAAAGTATCGGGGGACTCAGACGGGACACTAGAGAGGGTGGACTCAGAGTTGGCTGGGGAAGGACACAGCTGACTGGGAGTTTGGCAGTCAGCGGGTTCACACTCCAAAGATTGAGGCAATCTGCTAAGGAGTGAAAACAAAGGCCTACAGGTCAGTGTGACCGCAACATTGCCTGAAGTAACTTTCATCAATGTTCAACCCGTCACCAGTTTAACCAGCATATCCCATGTCTACATGTCACTCTTAGCAAGTTTTCTTAATCTTAAGAACAGCACATAAATCTGGGATCCACATCACAGTAATGCACTAAAAGGGGCTGTCACAAAATGTGTAAAAGCTAATTCGGTCATAAAATGGTCCACTATTCAATATCAATGGCCAACATTCAGACAAAACATCTGACGTTCACATGCCTTGCAGTTGCTGTCTTTATTTTTAGCTGTGACTTGCGCTTACTCAGAAATGACTGTACACTACAATGACATCATTCTACTAACCACACCAACACAGCACCAAAATGAAAGAAATAATATCAGAACTCAATGATACAAACAACTTTGACTGTTCATCTGTTCAATCAATCAAAAATCTTTGTACCTAACAAATACTGTTCACATCAACACCAAAAACAAGCATAATCTCCTTACCATTATGATTCGAATACTAAAACGAATCCGGTCAACTAACAAGTACAAAAAATCTCTTAAAACAAAATCCAATGAACCTGGCTATCCACGGAGAAAACAGCACTATGGCTCAGTCACTCCTTATGAGCTCTGTTCAGTCCACAACTTGTTTCACAACATCTTCGCAAACTCAAGCCACACCCAGATTCTCATCTGGACAAACTGGTCCAACAGGTCCATCAGGCGTCAGGTGGAATTTACAGTTTTGGTAGCTCAAGACAGACAACAGAACAGGACAGGAAGATGTGGAATTCTCAAGTTTCAGTGTTGGCAGACATGATGCAGAACAAAACTAAATAATCAACAACATGTGTTTTGGTTTTCTCAATTAATATTTCTAACTGATATGTACCTCATTTGTGTGCATGGGAAGTAATGAAGAGAAAAAAAAATAAAAATCTTTTTTGCTTTGCAGTTAATGTTGGGTCTTTTTTTTTAGTCAAATAAAATGCAGACACTACCAAAAAGGTTAGAGTGTGCAACTTCACATGCAGGAAAATTGAAGAGAATATTCAAATTCTAGTCAAGCAAGTGTGTTTACAAGTAAACAAAAGCCTCCCAAGCATCATAACACTGACACAACAGCAGCATGATTATATAACATTAGTGCAGAGCGACTTGTTGACAAGCACAATGCAACCAAAATGAAAAGAAGGCCTACCTGGGTTTGACTGCAGACACTTTAGCAGTGCGGTTGAGGAAGACCATGGCAGAGGGGGGTTGTGGGTTGCGGCTGGTTTTCTGATTATCAGTTAGACTTTCATTACTGCTGGGTGGAGGGTCTGAGCTGATAGGAACGTCCTCAAACGGGTTGGCAGAGCGGTGGGAGGCTGGTTGATCCGGATCTCTCGGGTCACTGCGAGGGGCCGGGGTGGGCAGATCCTCTTTAGTTTGCTGCTGTACCTCCTCTTTTTTCTCCTCCTTTTTTCTGATCATTCCAAACAGAGTCGACAGTCTGTCACTCATAGAGGCCTCCTCCTGGCGTTTTTGCTCTTCTGCTCTGTGGCGCTCCTCCTCCAGCTTCTGATTTTCTGCAGCTTCCAGCGTGCGGCGCTCCTCTTCTTCTTTCTTTCTTCTCTCTTCCTCCTCTTTCTGTTTCCTCCTCCTTGCTTCATCCTCGAGGAAGCGTTTCTTCCTCTCCTGTTCCTCTTGGTGTCTGCGCTCCTCTTCCTCCTGCAGTCTCTTGGCTTCTGCCCGGTACTTCTCCTCTTCCTCTCGCCTCCTTGCTTCTGCTAAGCTCCGCTCTTCTGCCTGCCTTCTTTCCTCCTCCTCTTGATGGCGCTGTTGCTCTAGTAAAGCTTTATCTGGGGACTCATGCTTGTAGGAGGGGACAGGTACACTTTTAAAGGGATCTGCTGGGAGATCAGAAGTGTGTTTGCGGACATCCTCCACAGAGCCTTGGCCTGAGCTGTTCAGACTGAGTGTAGATCCACTCTTGGGCTCTGCCTCCTCCGTGTACACATGGCTGCCGTTGATGCACAGGTTGTTCAGGTCACTGTTGCTGTGCTTGGAGCGGCCCAGCAGGGAGAAAGGACCCAGCGACACTTTGCTATCAGAGCTGCCTGTTCGCTTATGTCCCAGAAATTTGAATTTCTTCTTAACTGTGGGAGGAGACACAGGGAGGCATGATGTCAATGTTAACATGCAAAACACCGTCATTTAACTTGCACTGTGCAGCAGAAGGAAACCAGAACTTTCAACATACAGTCAACAAACAGTGACGAGTAGGGAGAGGCTGAATTACCTTCAGGAGAGTCTACATTGAGGCCAGAAGAGCGGCTGCCGCTGAGAGATGAATTCTTCTCAGGGAGTGTCCCCAGTGTAGACATGGACTGAGAGATGTTGCGCTGCAAGTTAGATTTGGGGGCAAAGAGAGTTTTGAGCTTGGATTTCTTTTTTGCTCCTGGAGAATGATTTAGCGACTGTGCATCGGGCTCTCCATCGCTGTCTGTGAGGACCTGGCTAACATGGGGAACGATAGCTGAAGCAGAGTCAGAGAAGCCATCTTTTTTCTTCCCACGGACTTTGTCCTTCAGCTTTGAGATGCGGGAGCGCGGTTTATCCTGCATAGAAAGGTCAAACATGCTGGCTGACATGTTGTTTCTCATAAACTGGATATCAAGTAGCACCTCCCCTCGCGGCTTGTCTTGTTTTCCAGCCTTGTCCACCAGCTTGAACCATCTGAAAATGAAAAAAAGAATGAAGCAGGTGTTAAAAATGGAATTTTTGAAACATTATGGGAACTTTCTTGAAAGTTAACTTTTAAATCAAAACTCTGATATTGAGCACAGCTTATTGCAATGCAAAAAAAGTCCCATTTTATCAGGTAATTTAGCCTCCCAGTCATGCTTCAAGGCCTACTTAACTGAACTGAGACTTTTACTCATCCCCAGCAAATGCAGTTTTGTTACAGTCACTGCCTTACTATAAAAGGTATTATGTCTCCAAAAATAGTATGACACAAGTTCAGTTGTGCAGAAAACTCATGAAATAATTAAACTAAAGTGGCAATTTCTGAGACACAAAAATATTATGAGACAGATTGCTATGTAAGAGGACATTTTAGATATACTGATTAATTGGTAGTACAGAAAGTAAATCAATCACAATTCTAATCAAACACTGATAAAGTACATCATTAAATAATCAAGCAGAAATGTAATAAGTCTCTTCAATTTATTTTTTCTGATTTGCTATTATGTCAGAGCATATGTTGGGCAATTTCGACTATTTGTTCGACATAATATAAATTAACAGGTTAATTATTCACAAACTAATAAATTAAATAAATTTAAAAAATCAGTTTATAAATATAAAAAATTAATTACTTCTTCTTTTCAGTCTACTTGCCCAATTTCTCATTAACACTGGAGTAAACGTGAGACAAATGATGGATTAAACAATAAGAAAATAAACAGAAAATTAATTTTGAGAACTGCATCACTCTTTAAGTCATTTTTATTTAGCAAAAACACCAAACTGCCTTTGATTTTATCTTCTCAAATGATCTACAGTATGTCACTGTATTTTAAATATCTTTGGATCCTGCACTGTTGGTCAGAAAACTGTTTTGGTCACAACTTTACTCTTTCACACACAAACTTGACTTTGGGTTGGTCCAACAAAATTGAAGATCGGATCACTTCAGGTGGTTTCAGTGAGATTGCATGCAAGATGAATATAAAAACAATCTACATAAAGTAAGATGATTCTGAGCAAAAATGACCAGGTTCCTATTGACATCGTCTTCAAATGTTTCTCATCTGTTGGCAATAGTTTGCTCTGTCTTGTTAGACCTGAGACTGATAAGTATCATTAACTAGTATACAGCTTGTTTCAGTTCCTGTTGGGACTACCATGCCAACCGTAGATAAAGCCTGACAATTACAGCTTTGTTCAGGCCTCCCCCTCATGTCCTCTCTGTTGTACAGGATCAGCACTTATTGTCTGCAAGGGAAAGGTAAGAGTGTTCTGGAGAGCCCCATCTAAAAGCAAGCCAAAACAAGCAATTAGTGCCATTACGTACGGGTGTTTTCTGCTTCCTAATTCAAGCCTTGCTATTATTAGATGTACTAATACGGTAGCAGAAGTGCCTATTACGGCAAGCCTTTCCCCTTTTTAACATTTTTGTTCCACAGCAGAGCCCTCCAACTATTTCACTTAAAGCAAATAGCACTCTGAATGCCTCTTTGATCATTTCGTACAACAATATGTGAAGCTTGTTAAAGTTCTGTCTGTCCTTATAAGAGATAAACTGAAGTATACTAAGGATATCCATCGCTGTATGTAACATGGTGTGGTACTATCCAGACAGTTATCTGCAGTTCACATGGAGTTTACTGTTGCAGCATTCATTTTCCTGCCATGTAGCAGACATCCAGATAGACTCTTGTGGGGATAACAGTCAGGAAACAAGCATGGGAGTGAACCAACATTCCTCAGACACGCAGGGAGGTGCTGTACAGCACATGATGTAACAAAAGTTACACTGAGCCTAATTCAAACATTCCTCATCTCCCACCCTAAACCAAGTCAAACAATCGCTAACCAAAACAAACCACAGGGCAAAACCAAGGACAGACGGATAACACTTTCTCTCAAGTCAATCAAGAACTGGTTTGCTATTCTTGTCTGAAAGCAGGGTGTGCACTTTAATGAGGGACAGACAAAATGCATTTCTATGGTTATTAACATGCCGTCTGGGAGTTTGACTTCTGTATTGTTTGCACAGAAATACAGAGCCGTGCCCCTGATGCATGTGCTCACTGGTCCTGCTGGACAGGTTCCCGTGCTAACTGTCAAGGGCGCTTCTCTTTTATGTTTAATGATTAACAAAAGAGCCTGTGTTTATCCAGTGAGCAGATGCCAGAATGAGTTGAGCCAATATATTAACAAGGTGTAAATAGATGACGCTAGATGGGTTGCACCAAAGTGTCATTGCTATGCACTCTCTGACATCATGCACCACATTGTGTTGTAAGGGTTTTAAGGATCATCAAATCCTAATATTTATTTTAAATGATCTTAAGGCAACATGTGTAAAGTTTAGTAAGAACTGACTTGTTGTCATGTCGAGTGAATAAATGTCATATTTCAGGATGGGAAATGTTTTACTACCACTGTGCGCTTTGTTTACAAAATAGATGTTGTGGTTTCAGGTGTCTGGGCAAATGGACTCTTTGGCTCTGCATCAGTTGGACTTGGTCCAATATGATGACGTCTGGCTACAAGAAAATGCATTTTGCTGCTGTGATCAAATTCTCAGTGTCCGGGTCTGATAATGCAGCCTGACCAGATCTCCTCCTTATGACCCCTGGAGACTGGCACTATGACCTGAACCATGAGACGGCAAAGTACAGCAACATTATGGTGGTTTTGGGTTTGTAAAGGAAAAAAGCATTACAGTACATTGGATAGAAATTTAATAATTATGTATTTTTTTTAAAACACTTAAGCTAAATTTTCTGCTTTCTTTTATAAACTTTGGGTTTTGGACAGTAGAACGTAGTGCTGATCAATAAATCATATTTTCAGTCATGGTATAAAATATATGATAGGACATGCACAGGGACTGATATAATGCAACAAATAACAAAAACAATGTTATTTACATGTGACATGCATTCACACCCTTTGACCAACTAGACACAGCTCTAGTAAACCATCAGCTACCTTCATATTACTTGGTTTCAATAAGTGACAACTGTGAGGTTAGTCAGCACAATGGCTAAGGAAGGAGAGATGAGTGAGAAAAATGTCAAAAGTTTTTTCGAGTTTACCAAAAAACACTATGAATGTAGCAAGAGAATGACACTTTAAATTCTTATAGCTATAATGTCCTATTTAAATTGAACTTTCAGGTGAAATGGCTAGGAATATCTGTGCAATTTGTTCAATAATATATCATGTATTTTCTGTATGTAGTGGGCAAAAGCTCTTCCGTTTTTTGTGGTGTATGTGAGCTCTATAGCCATTGAACCATCCATCCATCCATGATCTATACACCGCTTAATCCTCACTAGGGTCGTGGGGGGCTGGAGTCTATCTCAGCTGACTTAGGGTGAAGGCATGGGACACCCTGGACAGGTTGCCAGTCTATCTCAGGGCTACACTTAGAGACAGACAACCAAGCACACTCACATTCACACCTACGGACAATTTAGAATCACCAATTAACCTCAACATGTTTTTGAATTGTGGGAGGAAGCCAGAGAGTGCGGAGAGAGTGCACGGGGAGAACATGCAAACTCCACGCAGAAAGATCCTCACGAGGTGACCTTCTTGCTGCGAGGCAACAGTGCTAAAAACCGAGCCACCTTGCAGCCCCTCTTTTAAACCAGAAGGACAGAAACTTAATTTTCCTCATATTGTAGCTTCAAGAAACATACAGTTTGTGTTTTAAAATACTGTGACTGTGAGAATGTGTGATTTTTAATTTTTCTAAGTGTTTACAGCTCAAACTATTGATCAGAAAAATCACCTGCAGTATAATCAATAATGGCAATATTCATTACATAAAACCTAATCAATTGCTAGTAAAGACTTATATTTTCCAAAGAGTTGGATTCATTGAGCCGCTAAAGTTTTTCTTCGTGTATGAAATGCATTAAAATAGAGCTGCAAGGAGTAGTAGATGACAATTATCTGATTACTACGTAGTTATTAAGTATAATGTTTCATTATTTGTGAGTAAATGACTTCTTTTCCTCTTTGAAAAACTAAAATGAGACACCCTAAACCCCAGTTCACTTCAAATTCACTCCTTTGTATGAGAGGCAACTGTAGGGTTCCCTTTCAGCTGGAAAACAAAGTCTTCAATGTCACACCCCATATCAGCACCGCAGGGAGGCAGGATAGTAATCTAACACCACACACTTCACCGCAGAGCCAGCAACATCCAATACCCAGTGTACATAGTGGATCTTAAAGGAGACAGAGGGAGCAAAACAAGCACAGAGAACGAAGGAGCTCTCACAAGAAGAGGAAACAGAAAGGAATGAACTTTGCCACGGAGATGTAAAAACTTACTGAGCAAACACAAGATAACATATCAGCTATGAAGGTACAATAACCAAGTGAATGAGGTCATTCTGGCACCATATCAAGCACAACCTCTAGCTTTCTTAGTTTTTACCAAAGGTCACTCCAAAATTAGAGGCCACGGTGAGCAGGGTTTACCAGTGTGGAATAAACACGACAGTATATTAAACCACCTTTATTTTTAACATTTCCCTTACATAAGAGGGTGTGTATATCCCACTTCAGCGCTAATGCAATGTTTTATTTTGAATACTGTTACACCCACGTTACACCCATGCTACGTCAAACTACAGATGTCATCCGATTCATGTAACGTGTCCGGGTGTGCGTAGACGTACGGTGCGTTAGCTAATAGCGTTGAGAAATGTGCAGGATTACCAGCAGCACAGTGAGAAGATGATTTCTAAAGAGGCGCCTGTCAGCAAGCTGGCAGTGACACAGTTGGCTTTACAGCAACTTTATGAAGTAAAAGTCTCAGACAACGAAGACAGACAAGGCAGTAACTTAATGTTCTATGAACAGACACTAATAAAAGGAGGAGGGGGAACAAGTCTGTCAACATGTCAACATGACCTGTTTTAACTGCATCATATTTCTGTCTACACAAAAGGTGCCGTGACAAGGCTGAACTATTCATTTGTGTCTAATTTTCTCATAAAATTCTCAACAGCGAAAGGAACATAGAGTAAACTCAACGACTAATGTTTAATTCACTGCTAGGTTTCACAGTTTAAACATAGGAAATCTGTGAACTGTGTTTGATACGTGATCTGTGCGCAACTTTTACACCATTTAATACTGAATGATTTCTTACTAGGAACATTTCAGGAGATTTCATCTTCTTAGCAAAATGTGACTCCAACTTATGAAATACTAAATCTTGTGAAATAGTTTGTGCTGATCAGAAACATTTTAACCGCTGCTGGTGACGTCACATGGTGGGAGTAAAAATGACTCATACTTGTGGAAAAACCCAAATCACTACTGGAATAAAGTAGGTAATCAGGTACATGTTTGTAAACTACAAAAGCTTTGTTTATACTTTCTTAGAAAAGCTTAAATAGTTCCTAAATCTGCAGTAAAAAGTCAAGGAAGATAATCACTACAATTTATTTCTTTATTTGTAAGTAGGCTAACCATTTAGTGAAATGGTAAATCTTAAAAGTAAGAGAAGAAGCAATGCTAATTCAAAATAATGCAGGGAAATAAATCTAGCAGCATGAGGGAAGCAATTAGTCAAACCAACTTGGTATTTGTTTACCTGCCTGTTTCTTGGGATACTACAATTAACCAAGGATTTAAAGCCTTACGATGTTCATTTATATAACATTAAGCATTGGAATAAAAGCTTGTCTGATGGATTGATCATTCTGTATGTGTGCAGTATTTCTAATGTGATGGTGCACAGCAAATTAAGTGTAGTGAATGCAGAAGCTGAACTTTAAAAAGAAGAAATCCAGCTGTGCTTAAACTAGTAGACATGTTTGTGTCACACTTAGTTAAAACAGATAACTCCAAACTATGGTTGGACACCTACAACAACAACAAAAACAAACAGCACAACAAGCAGGCTGTATGTTGTTATGAATGACCTGGGAACACACTGACTGGGTGAATACAACAGTGGTCACTTACTCTGTCTTTTTACGAGACTTGTCGTCATGGAGATCCAGCAGGTTTACCACGGCTTGGCCCAGGAACTTGTCGAGCCCCACTTGAGCCCGGTGCATTACAGTGATATACAGCGTGCAGCGGTCGGCGTTTCCCGGGTGGAAGAGCGGCAGGTCAAACGAAGCTTCCTCCTTCCACACTGGGTCGACGCTTTTCTCAGCCACGGAGGTAGAAAACTTGTCTTTGGCCACCTGGATGATGGCGTAGGAGTCGTTGGTGCCATTCTTGCCCTTGACACGTAGGTTCCGAGCCTGATGCACCGTTACCTGGACACTCGTAGGGAACCACTGCTGGCTCTGGTCGGCCAGAGACATTGCCAAAGTCCCGTAAGCTTAACCAAAAGTTAATCCGAATTGTCTGCTATAAATATCTTACCACGTCGGGCCGGCGGTTAACCTTTTCCTGAACTCTGTTTTTCACCTTCGGCGTCCTCTGCGGTTCTTGGTTTTGGTTACCTAGCTTGTCTTCTGTTCAGGAAGCTCGGTTTGGTGTCGTAATACTTCTCCCTCCTCTAGGAAACGCTGTACCTATGTCTCTAATGGCGTTCAAGTTGAGTTAACATAACACAATAACACAATACTAGTCCTGGAAACCCACCCAGGACATCACAGCAGCTCGACCAGCTCCTTTAAGAGGCTTTCATAAACATAATTCCTGTGCTTTGCCTCCGCTGAGTTTAACAGTCTACTTCCCTGATGTTAGGAGTTCCCACCCATACTCCATTTAGAGCTGTCTGATTGGCTGATGCTTCTGTCAGTTTTTAAAACTCCGTCAGTGATTGGACCGTGGAGGAGGAGGGCGCTGAGCAAGCACGGACCGTTAATTAGTGTTAACAGCCACTGATCAGGAATCAGTTTACTCCCGGAAAAGTCACAGACCTGAACGGGACAACACTTTCCACTGAACTGAGAGCAGTTATGCTAATTTGGCGCTTACAGGATATAACGTGTCTACACAACTTTTTTGTTCTTATTTATGTTATGTCTGAATTTATAAGACACTGTCTAAAGTTTGTTAAATAAGATATTTCTAAAGAAAAGCAGATGTATCTTTATCTTTCAGACTGTCCTTGCTAAAAAATAATTTATTTTATTTTATTTTTTTAAATAATAATTTTGCAAGTAAGATATTTTTTATTTTGTCATATCCTTAAGTGGAATGTTTTGGCACACAGGACAAAAAACAAAGAAACAAAAAAAACCGAATGAAACCTTTTTTGTTTGTTTGTTTGTTTGTTTTTCCAGTTCCACACTGGCATCTTAGTATTGAAAATGTGAACTGTCCACCAGGTCTTAATCAAAAAAGTTTAACTGAAAATACATTTAATAGTCAATAATACTTAATAGGACATCATATATTGAATTAAATTTACCTAATCATCACATATTCATGGATTTTGCAAACATTCTCAAAGCAGAGTACATTCCACAACCTGAATGATTCAGTAAGTGGAAAAGTTTGGAGCATTTAGCAAAATTTAACATTCGGTTCTAAATCATTTCTGAAAGTGAGTCAGTGAAAAAGTAGCAGACAGTGGCTCCACACCTCAGCTACATAACAGGTATTTGGTAAACCATTACAAAAAAAACAATAGAAATGAGACAGTAGTGTTTACGATTGAGTGTTCTATAATTTTTCAGTAAGAACATACTGTGTCTTGCATACACTCTACCCTGGAAATAATTCTACAGGGAGTCATACTGAATCATGATCTTTATGCTTATGGTTGTTTTCCATTAGGGGTTCAGTTTAAGTCCTGCTTGCGGCTGATTAAAAAGCTTGTATTGCACAGAGAAGATACCATAGTATGCATCGCAGACTGATCATATCAAAATACAGAAGAGTATCAACAAACAGCATATGGCCCAAAGAACAATGGAAAAAGCCATGAGAACAAACTGCATTGTAGAAATATTATTTCCTGTCATTGTAATTTCCTGAATTGCAGGTGTATCAAGCTGATTTAAAAAACAGAAGTACGGCTTCAGTCTTTGTCAGTCGACTCAACTGTCAAGACAATATCCTGTTTGAATTTTGGAGAAGCACCTTAGATGTGAAAAGTGCTTTTGGACACGCTTTTGAAAAGTGTGAATAATAACACCTACATTAACAAGTTAGACTTTAGTGTTAAAAAAAAAAACCATGAATGTGTCAGTGTAAAACCTGTGAGATGGTTAAGGGTAATGCTTTTTTAAACCCTGACAATGAGTGAAAAGTTTCTTTGCCATCCAGGAGGGGGCAGTCATTCAGGCATTAGGTCAGAAAATCTTCTGTTAGAAGTGATAATTGAGAGTGGGTATGAGAAAGGCAATTATATTTTTCCCTTGGGTTATATTTCTTTAGAATTTACCACAGAAGAGAAGCCCTGTCAGTGCTGATGGGAGCACAAAGAAATAAAAAGGAAACATTTTCTGTATTCAAAAGTCTCGCATAGCGTTTTTAATTCACTCTGAGATTCTGTACAGTCGCACTCATGCAAATCCTCTCCTGCTGTGTGTTCGCGTACACACACGCACACTTTCACACTCACACACACACATACGCACAAACACACAGCGGACATAAGTGCATATACGAGCACACACAAACAATTACTTGAAGCAAACACAAGGATGAAATGTTGTCCACAGATTAAATGCATATAGCTGTACTTTGGAAACGGATCATCTTGTATTCCATTTCATGATATAGTTGATATGCATAGAAAAATCACAACTAACACAATAAAGCTTTCATTAGACATCCAAAATCAACATCACATGCCAATTTCAGAGATATCTTGTACATTTTTTGTAAAGTGAATAAAATAAATGCGTATCTTATGTTGGAAAATGACAATACAAAAAAAAAAAACCTGCCTTATTATTCTTTCACCATTTTCACAGCAAACTCTTACAATGCTACAGAGGCAAAAGTACCAGTTTAGGGTCCTGGGTGCCTTTGTGATATCATATCTTAAATTATATAATTATTAAGCGACCTTGAAAACATAACCCTGTCATTTAAGAGATCATTAAGGTCATGCATAGATGTTCACATGTAAGTAAAGTTTACACTGTGGTTTCGCTTTTCCATAAACCACTCTTCATTCCAACAGAGCTATGGGATTGGTCCGTGCCGCTCATGTCCTGCTCCAGCTCCAGCACTGAGTTTTTCAGGGTGCCATTTGGGGCAGCGGCCCCCGGCACAGTGGTGGTGACACTGTTCAAAGGGTAGGAGCAGCGCTTAGTGTCTCGCTCTGCACACGCTGCTAGTTTCAAATTGTCTCTGCTGGCGCATCGTCTCTGAGCACCGTGCATGGCCGCTCTGCTGGCCATAGAGGGCAGCAGGGGGAAGGGTTTCCGGCTCCCACTGCTGCCCCCATCGCTTCCCTCCGAGGGGCTGGTGGCTACCGACTCTCCCACCCGCTTCCCGTTTGTCAGCGTGCTGGCCTGGTTCTCCGAGAGGCTGTGGTGGATGCTGCCGTTCTCACTTGTAGCCTGTTTGTAAACAGCATGCGACGAACTGAAGTGCTCTAAACCTGTGGGCCCTAAAGCTCCGAGGCTGCCCCCGCCTCCAGCAGTTCTTAGAGCTTTGAGGCGATAGTGACCTCTGCCCTCACCCCGATGATAATACTGACTACTCCCTTGTTTAGTTCTGCTGCTCACTTTCCTCCTCTGGGGATGCACTGGGGCTGCAGAGTTAATAGTGGGAAGAATATTATTTGTTTGCTTGGTGATGTTGTCAGTACTGGTACTTGTGTTGTTGCCTGTAGGGACACGTGAAGTGTTGTTTGAATTGTCTTGTGCCACCTGCAGCAGGTTGGTGAGTTTGCAAGGCCCAGGGCCTACGCTGCTGATCCCACTTGGTGTGGAAGATGACCTGGCTGAAGAGGAGTTGTGAGAGTCACCGGGCGGATGGCAGTTGATGAACAGCTGTGATCCTTGCTCTGAAGTCTGCACTCCACTCCCAGTGGTGCAGGTGTGCGTATAAGTAGACATAGGACGGGAGCGACGATAGCCTGGGCAACAAGCCAGCCATGAGGCCTGCACATCCAGCCGTCGGAAGCAGTGGTGCACCACCAGAAACACCCCCAAAACTGTGGCAACCATCCCATACAGGCTGCTGAACAACAAGCTAGTGTGGCCCGTTAGCCACATTGCCATGGCTCCACAACACCACAGAACCACAAACAAGAAGTGGGTGGCCACCAGCACAGAAAACTGTGTCTTTAGTGAGTACTGGTCCTCGGGAGGCACGACAGGGTTTATTGGTCCCACTGCTGAGTCTGTGGAGAGCAGGCTGGTGCTTCCTGCCAGTGCAGGATGGGTCTCGGTCACCGGAGAGGACAGGGTGGTTCCTGTGCATTCTTTGGCCACGCGGTGCCTCAGGCGAAACACAGTGCACAGGAAATAGATCCAGGTCACCAACACCACGAGGCCGGCAGGGACAAAGAAGGACCCCAGACTGGAGCGCCAAACCAGCCAGCAGCTGCAAGAGGCGGAAAAGATGGCAGAAGAGTCAGCGCAAAACAAGGACATCTTTGTGTGTTCAACACATCTCACAGAAATATTCACTTCAGCACCAAGCAAAACAACACAAAGTGAAGGGCCAATTGGCTCAAGGATAAAAAGAGAAGCACTTACTAAGGGCTGTTGTCTCCGTAGTTGTTGACATTGACAGCTGCAGTGATCCCACAAATGATAAGAGGAACTCCATCAGCTATCAGATAAAACCTTGAATAAAAGACAAACACATATCAGACACGAGCCTCCAGCAGCAGCAGCAGTTTCAGACATAGAGAGCAGTTCTTGTCTTTGCCACCGTGTGACCTTTGGCTGCCACCATGTTTTTAAAGTGTGCATGATGGTGTCACTTTCCTTTTCATGATTTAATGTCTCTCTGGATGTCTATCATTTGAACAGAACTTTGTGATCCTTCACTTTCTTAGCAAGCAGAGAGTCACAAGGGTCAGTACAGACCCCAGAAGTCTGTGATTTATTGCAGCCTGATCCCATGTGGCTGAGTGGGCAACAAAGGGGCGGCTGGAGCGCCAGTGAGGTCAGCTTCAAGATCACAGGGGCAGACAAGCCGGAGGAAAAATAGAAGGGAATCATGAAAAAGACAGTGCACCCCTTGAATCACCCCGCTCAGATTTATGACAACTCCCACTGCCTCTGTTATGTTGCTTTCATTCTTTTTTCTTTTCTTTTTTGCCTTACAGCGATACTCTGCTATGTCCCCTCAAGGTTTCTTAAAAAAAAAAAAGGGATTCTAGTCATCCAGCACAAAGAGCAGCTTTGACGGTGCGCAGTCTGGGTGGCCCTGCAGAGGAACTCCCGCATCTGTCTAAAGCATAAACCGTACTGACAGCAAACAGTAATCTCATGGTGCAAGTGGTGGGTGAAGGTGAGTGGCAGCTTGTTCACTGACCTGAGCATGGGTCTCTGAGTAGGTGGAGCAGGAGACTCTCCCTCCGGCTGCCGCGGCATTCTCCACACGGCCTCCTTGTAAATGACCCTGGCGCTGACTCCAATCCACAGCAGGGTGGACAGCGAGGAGTAATGCAGGGCAATGCCCACCTGTCATAAATCACACAGTCAGACATCCAGCTTTACA